TTTTTTTTTTGAGACAGGGTCTCACTATGTAGTTGAGACTGACCTGGAACTCACTATATAGTCCATGCAGGTCACAAACTCACAGCTGATCCTCCTACCTCAGTCTCCTGAGTGCTGGGATTACAGGCATGCACCACCAAGCCCGGCCCCAGCACTGTCTTTTTTATTGTAGCCATCTTAGTGCCTGTCTCTTCGTGGTTTTTGCTTTGTATTTCTCTAAGGACTAATGATGATGAGCATCTTTTCCTATGGTTGTTTATTAGTTTTTCATATATCTTCTTTGATAAAATGTCATTTTAAAATTCCTGCCTACTTGGGTTGCCTAGCAAAATGTTTTGTTTTATTAGTGATTTATAGGAGGGAGGGAAGAGCTATGAATATACTCATTCTGGATGAGTTATTCATCTGATTTGTGATTTCAGTACAAGAGTCCCCCCCACTTGGTTTGGCTTCATTTTCTTAGTGGTGTCTGTTATGTCTTATATTTAGATGTCCCCTAAAGCCCCATGTGGTCATAGGTGGGGCTTTTTTGGAGGTGGCTGAATCTATCTAGAGTGTGTGACACTGAAATTGATTCATGGTGCATGTTAGGCTTAAGGCCACTAAGATTAAGAGTGTGAATGCTACCTGCCCTAAGTAGCCTGGTAAGATAAAAGGGGCAGAAAGATGCTGTTAAGGTCCCTTGTTGCTTTGCTGTGTTGTGCCTGCCTGCCATACTACCCTGCCCTGGAGCCAGTCAAAACCTCTACAACTGTGAGCTAAATAAAGCTTGCCCCCTTTAACTTTGTTGTTAGGTATTTTGTCTCAGCGATGCAAAAAGTAACTAAGACAGTGTCCTTTTAAAATTTTTTTTTGTAGTGATATTAGAGATTGAACCTAGGGTCTTAACACTGAGCTACATCCTCAGCTCTTTTTTTTTTTTTTTTTTTTTTGTACTGGAAATCGAACTTGGGTCCTTGTGCTTGTGAGCCAACCACTGAACTAAATCCCTGGCCCCTCAGCTCTTTTTAATATTTTTTTTAAAAAAAATAGGGTCTCAGTATATTAGTGAGTGAACTCCAACTTGTGATACTCTTACCTCATCAGCCTCCCATAGTGGTGGGTGTGCACTGTCATGCCTGGCTCTTAATAGTATCTTTTAAAGCACAAACATTTTATGTTTTGATGAAATTTAATATATTACTCTTTTCTTTTATTAATTTTGTTTTGGTATTGTGCCTGAGAAATCTTTACTAATCTAACATGAAACATTTTTGCTATGTCTTCTAAGTCTTATAGTTTTAGGTGTTACATTTAAGTCTCTTATATTTTGAATTAATTTTTATGTATTCTGTGGATAAGATGAACCACTTTATTATAGTGGAAGACACTGAGACACAGAAGGATAAAATGATGCCCCAAAGTTATATAGTTTGGGACAGAGCCGTTGTTGGTATCTAGCCGCCTAATTCAGGATTCTTGTTCTGACCTTTGCAAGGATTGATTTTGATATAAATTAGATTTGGGGGTCATAGTCCCACAGTTTGAGGGAATATCCTTACAGTGAAAAAAAAAATCTGATGTGTTCCCTACATCCTTCCACTTTACCCCTTACACTTTTCTCTTATCCCATTCTCCTAATAGGGGAGAAAAAAAAGTTTTGTGAACTATATAGCCTTGTATAACTAGTAAGGGTCAATAAAGCAA